GGGGGGGGGGGGGGTGCGTGGTGGTTTATAAAAGATGCCCTCAACATGAAAGATCATTAGGTATCAATATAGGCTAAAAGCATTTACCTCCCCACCACAACTAATAGCGTGCTGTCCTGTAGTTCTTAAATCCGTGTATGAGGAAAATGTTGTGTCCTGTATTTCTTGTATTTCTAACTCATCTTCAGTATCCCAGTCAATGTTGTCATTGTCTTCTCCAGAAAGATTGTTGTCCTGCATGGGATTGAAGCAAGAAATACAAACAAAGAAGAAATGATTTTCCTCAATTTATCAAAAATATGAAGAAAGAACGACCATATACTTTCTTTTCTGATCTATATATAAGACCAGAAGGAAGTCAAAACAACTGTAAAATGTTAGAGAACCGAGAAACGAGATAATTTACCATTTCTCAAGGTAAGCCTGGAAAAGAACTCCAACTTGTTCAGCAAGAAGAATAATTTAGCACCCTACATAACACGAGAAGCTAAACGTGAATTACTGCCATTAAAGCTCCACAGAGCAATCATCAAAGAAAAAAGTTAGCCAGCAAATCTCACACAGAAAACTCAAACACAAAAGTTTCTTCATGTCCTGAAACAAAGGCAGGAGAGATAGCACTAAAGTTCATTCCTTTTGGACACAAAACATAACTTCCGTAGAATATATTGGATACCTTTTCTAATGAATTAACATTAAGACAAAATCAAAATTCCAATCTCATTCACTAAACCAAGGCCTATATTGAAAAGGAAACGAAGAGACTATGCTCCTAAATTTATTTTTTCGTTTGATCAAATGGCTTTGCTCCTGGACTTTCCTAACATCAAAGTTAAAGAAGAGAATGATAGCAGATTTTTGGACTCTTACTTTTACCCATCTGCGCGGACAAAGTTTTAAAATCCTTAACTACTTGTTAGACAAAAGGTTTTCAATAAAAGCAAATTCTTTAGGGAACCTTATTTCAATTGATTACCAACTTATGCGAGCAATGTATCCACCAAACAACCTTCACTCAAGTGCAATCCTGTTAGAAACTGTTATATTCCAACTCATCGTTCCGTTGGTCTTGGAAGAAGCACATGCACAAGTAAACTTTTAAGCCCTTTTTACCCACAAGAATTGACAGGAAACTGAAAGTAAGAAATCACCTCAGCACATACAAATAATTAAGTATATGCTTGTAATTTAGAGAAAAGGGGAGTAATGATTCGTGAGAAATTAGTTCTTTCTATGTCCTATCCAGAATTCAAGATACTACTACAACAGAATACATATTCTTAGTAGCTTCTAATGTTAAATATCTTTTCTCTCCTCTTCTACACAAGCAAGATAGCAAAACTTTGAGAACATCTGTAGATTTTTAAACATTCAATAATTTTCGCCAAGAAAACAAAACCGCTTTCACCAGCTTATCAATGTGCATCTATTACTGCAGACAGAAAAGTATATTATCCCTATCTACTTCAAAGTTTTATAGAAACCGAGTACATAGTACATCAAAATTGTCCGCTTCACTTGATGTCAAAGGCAAAAGCTTCCATTTTCTTTGCCTTGAAAAAATGCCCTGCACGTAACCTAAGTGATTTGCACATACCGAATGAAGGGAGAAACAACCAAAAGAAAATTCAAAAAAGCATGGATGGTTTAGTTCAATTTGTAGCTGTGTTGAAGACAAAAGCAATTGTTTAGTATCTCTTGTCTCAAAGTATTTTGGTTTCCCCAACTATGCTACAACTGAAATTCGAATAGATTCGTCTAGGATGTGAAAATTTTCAAAAGCTATTGACTGGAATAAAAACAATAGTTTACAAAGCAAGATTCATCTGAAAATTTTGAACTAGCATCTAACTGGACTAAGTGCAAACGACATTAGCAATTGTTAAACAATAACTTTACCACAAACCATCATTATATCAAACTAAACTGATTTTAGGTAGTTTCGTCCCCTGTGTACACCAAGAAATTCAGTATCCCACTAAAATTAGGTAGAAAGTGAGAAATCTTCAAAAATGTACGTCAGGCTATGTTGCTTGGACTCTCCAAAAGTATCTCCGGGTGCGTGTCAAATCCTCAAAAGCAGTTTATTTTTGGAGGACCCGACATGGGTGCGGCAGCATTTTGGAGAGCTTGTGCAACATAGATGACCGGTCATTTCCTTGTAATCAAATGGTGTATCCATTAACTTATTTGATTAAGATGCTAAATGGGTTATTTAATCCTACTCATTGTCCATCTTTATGGGGGATCAAGGGAGTGTTTTTATTTTGATTCTTTTTAGTCATTTGAGCATTCACCGTTTTGACTTTTTTTTTTTTATGGAGAGAGATTCGAACCCCTAGTATTTCTATAAATACTTCGGTTTTCCAGACCGACTCGTTCAACTGCTACATCCTCAAATCTGCATATCTATCCTTCTAAACAAGTAATTTCATCACAACCACACAGTAAATTTGCCAAAAACTGGCATTTTTTTTTATTTCTTGCCTCTACATTGTTTTACTTTAAGTTACATGCAGCAAAAGCATTCATTTTCTGTTATAAGGAAGAAGAAAAAAACCCTTTCTTTGTGCCATGTACTGTGTGGATACGATCATACACATTTCTAGTGACCTAGCTAGAGGAATAATCACAATAATTTTCCATTGCATGTGGAAAAAGAAGAAATTACTACTAATAGATAAACTAATGTCACACATGCAGATATAAATAAGCCACATTTACCAGAATTAGCGTGCGTGACTCCTTGAGAATCAACGAGGCACAAAGCTAAACACAATTGTTCAGTCGGTAAATTTCTATACAAATGTTTAAATTTTGGAAAGTGCAGGTAAATTACACCAAGCAGTAGAAACTTGGCTGGTTTGTACGAAGGGAAGAAGAGAGACTGGGTTTGGGGCTGAGCTTCGAATTTACGTATATCACCTTAACATAAAAACGCACAATAACCTACATCAAGGGTGAAGTAGTCATTTCAAAGAACAAGCTTTTTGATGCAGGGACACGTGCTTTCTTTTGTAAAATTTAGGACACGTGCTTCCTTATTAATCTGTATAAAATTTGGGTTTTGACGAGAAAAAAGAAATGCTCGATTTTCGTTTTCAAGGAATCGGAGGGTATACCTTTTCCAGAACATTGTACAATAATAATAGTAATTCTGCTAATATCAAAATAACCTAAGAAAAAGGGAGAAAGGGGGGTAAATTTACATTTAAAAGTCTAGATTATTAGTGATGAGATTTGTTTACCCTTAAAATCGGATAACAATTAAATTTATAAGTGATTTTAAGAATATGTAATTTCACCTAGTACTAATTGATAAATATGATGATTAATAGTAGAAATAAACAACAAAGTAAAGCAAATCAGTATTGAAATGCAATTCAGCCCTCAAGTTAGGTCCTCGAACTGAGCGAATGAGAGTAAAATTATGAAACAGACTGACGAACAAGAAAGTATAAGAAAACAGAGTATTGTATTGCTTTGGTATGCGTGAATGTAAGATGATTACAGAATGATTAAATCTCTCTTTATATAGTAGATGAATCCTATTTATGGTACAATTCTAATTACAAAAATAAATCTCATGATAAGTTAAATAACCGTTCTTGATTTGATCTGTTCCGAGATTTCCGCCATAATCCTCGGCTAGTCACGGATATCTTACTTTTTCCGTTATTATGCTATCTTCGGTCTCGCTTGATGCCTGTCATGTTGGGCCTCGGTCATCACCGGTCTCGACCTCGACAGGTACTTCGAATCCCGAACTCAGTGTCTTATCCTCACACCTCGGTCTGATATACTGCGGGACCGATCCTCAATCCATTCCTCTGGTCCCGGTCAATTAGTGAAATCGGATAGGCCCGATTTTAACCGTATACAGATAATCCCCTCGTGTTTTAGGTATAATGACAAGAAAAGAATTGAGTCATCGACCTTTACCCCGATTTATCATGACGTCATCACCATGACGTAGGCGACCGAAGTGACCGAAACATCCCATCGGTGCAGTTCCCAGGTCATTAATGTGTGTCAGTTGACGGTCGGCCACTAGTAACTTCAAACCGTCTCCGTAAAACCCATAAATAGGCTTTTTTTCGCTTTTTCAAACTTTTATTTTGAATCTCTCATGTGCTAATCTTCAAAAACCCTTTGCATTCTTCAAGTCCATCTGCAAAACTTCAAGTTACATTGCTAGCTTCTTTTTAAATCACCAAATACCATCACCGTCGTTCTTCTTTAATCTCAACCCAATGGAGAAAACATCTAAAATTGTTCCACAGAAGGAAGAAGCTTCCTCATCTAAGCCAGTTGGCGAACAACCAGTGGTGGAGCCACTCCCTGAAGAATTTTTTCCTCCGTTGTGCGTCCTTGACTCCGACTTTAAAGTTGAAAAGACCTCCTCAGTTCTGGCCTGATGCGAGCCAATGTCGAGGTATATATGCACAATCACCAGTGGCCTTTTAAACCAAGTTAAAAAGGATTGCAATTGGGTAGATAAGCATGTGGTGGTGCCCTCGCCTGAGGAGTCAATCACGACGTATGTGCAAGGGTTTTTGAGTGTGTACACCTACCATTTCACATTGGTCCCCTTGGATCCGGTTATCGTCGACTTATGCAAGCAGTACGCATTTACCCTCGGCCAAATACACCCCTCCTTATGAAGGATAGTGATACTGCTCCATTTTTTTGCGAGCCAAGTCGATGGGATTCCCTTTACCCTCGATCATCTTATACGCTTATATAGCCCCCGACTTTATCGAGGGTGGCTAATAAAGCTTCAACGTCGAGCTTTCAAGGCAGCTTTCTCGAGCATAGACGAGGACAAGGATCGGTGCTGGATGGGCCGATTTGTCTAAGTGAAGACCTCAGATTTGATCCCGGCCGAAAGTATTCCATTTGTAGAGAAATGGAATATGAAACATAAGTATGGTTCTCTTTTTTTATCTTCTGCTCATTTTTTCATCTTTTCTTAGTGACGCTTCGTATAGTGCAGCCTTTGCTTGGATGCCGGGTGCGATTCCCCATCTCAAGAACTGGGTCAGAAGCTTAGTGTCAAAATCGACACATACTGAGCGCGCATGACGCGAATTGGCGAGAGGTCGATGAGAGGCCCAAAACCATGGTAAGTTTTCGTATAATCCGATAACTCCGACCACTGTTCGAATTTCTTTTTGATCTTATTTACCCTTCTTTTGTAGGCCGTGGGAAGGACGTGCCGATGAGGCTCCCATCATGTGATGAGGAAAACCTTCCCCAACCGTCATGCTCAGAAACAGAATAAAGAGTGGAAAAGGAGAGAGGCTTCGAGCTCCACAATGTTAGACAAGCAAAAGCCCAAAAAGAGGTGGTGCCATGGGGGGAATGACATCCCCTTGACAATGGACTCAGTCCTCAAGATACAATAAGAACTCGAAGAGGGTGAACAGGAAGAAGAAAATGAAGATGATTTAGGGCTGATAGCCTGTACACGAGCTAGAACCAGGGCTCGGAAAGCTTCGAAACCAGTGGAAATTGATGTTGACCGGTCTAGGACCAATGAGGTCGAGAAGGAGACTTCATCCCAAGTCCCAAAGCCCAAAGGAATCAAAGGCGTTTTGCCTCAGGGCAAAGAGGCCATTGAAGAGGCTATGGATGCCGGCGCAGAGAACGAACTCAAGGCTCCCCAAGATAGAGGTAGTGCTTTAAAAAAATCCTCGGTGGGCAATAGAAATTGGTGATTCCCCCTTGATTCCTTCGGTCTCTGATTCTTTAATATGCGATGCTCATGCCGTGGAGACTTGTCACAGGGAAGGTGCCCATGGAGAGGAGGACCTCTTCCATGGTTTATTTGTCGAGATAGAAGACGTCACCGGTTTGGGCGACCTGGAGTTTTCGAGAAAAAGCTCGAGTGAGGCTTCCTCGTGTCCCAAACTGACCGATCAATTCCTGGCTCCCAGTGTAGATCCGGGGCGCAAGCGAACTATCGTGATCACGATCCTGGAAGATGCTCGTGTTCTTAGTGCCCCCGTAGGGGTAGTTAGCTACCTCCGGGGTTTGGTCACAGAGGAGGATTGAGCCCAGATGGATATGGTGGGAGCGCCTTGTCTATTCAACGAGGACAAACAAGCTTTAAACCGAGTAACTTTGATTTTCTAGCCATTTTTGTACTTTGGTTTTTCTCCCTTGGTATAAATTTTCCCTTTTATGTTTACAGGCTTCGGTGCTTCATCATGAGGCTTTTCTCCGATTCCAAGAAGAATTGAGCCTTTTTGAGGCTGATATCTAGGGGCTCACCGAGGAGAAAAATGCCTTTAAACTTTTCAGTGAGCAAAAAGAAGAAGGCATTAAGGGCCTCCGAATTGAATTGGCCACGGCTCAAAAAGAACATAGCGAACTGACCGAGCAGGTAATAAAAGTCTTAGAAGCTCATGGAATCAATTAGGGAGTGGTGGCTAACAATTTGATCTCACAGGTCCAGCAACGCATGAGACAATCGGGCAACTCCGTGGAGAGGTAGATGCGGTGAAGGCGGAAACCATAGTGTGGAAGAAAAATATGGACTGCCTTGCTGCAGAGAAAGAGTCTGCTCGAGCTCCATTTTCCTCGGCTGAGAGCCAACTCCAAGGAATGAAAGAGAAAAACTTGGCACAAGCCAAGAAAATCGAGGAGCTCCAGGCTCGATTGGTCACGAAATTTGCAGTGGCGAGATCCAAGGCTGAGACGGCTAAGGCCGATGCTGAGGAAATCGTGGACATCTACCGATCTGACGCTGAAGCCGCTCAAGCTCGATCAAAGGAGGTTGCTGATACTGCTCAGACTCGAGCATACTGGGTTGCCGAGCTCGCCAAGTTCCAATCTCGAAGGGAGACTCTTAAGGAGATTCACACCTATTACTTCGATCTTGCTGCCGAGATCAAAGATGCAAAAAAGCTCGAAGCTGAAGCCAAAGCATTAGTCTCTTCTAATAATGATGATTCCGGGAGCATGAGTCGATCCAAGAGCAGAGAAGACCCCGAGGGTGAAGATGTTTCTCCTGGAGAATATTAAGTACTTAGGATCATTTTTGGGTTTTTTTTGGCATAGAATTTCGATCGGGCCATGATGCCCTTGTAAATAACTTTTGACATATATAAAGGTCTCTCTTGCATTTTCATTTTATTTTTGACTCATGAAATTTGTGCTTCATTTATTCCTTATGAAATTGTTATTCATATGCTCGAGTTTTAGGCAATTCAACCAAACTAGCATAGTTTCTGCGATCGAGTGAGTGCTTGTTCGGATTAAAAATAAGGGAATCCTTAGGTTTTATTTGAATGAGGGTGATCTTTCGAACTCGAGAGCTCCCTTAGGCTTAAAAATAGTCCCGAGTGAGAATTTGCTCGAACTTGAGTTGAAGTAGCCCTTGGGCTTAATGATCGACTGAGGTGATGCTCAAACTTAGAATTAGGTAGCCCTTAGGCTTTTTGTAAGTTTTGTATTCGGCCGATTTGGCCTTTGTAAAACGATCGTATATATAAGGCTTTTTCTATCCTTTCGGCTTTTAAAGTTTTCCCTTTTTTATCATTTCCATTCACTAAGTTTTATAATGCCTTAACATGAAGTAATAAAGTCATGTTTGAGGGTTTGAACAATTTTGTACCCCTTGGGGTTTTTTAGGCTCGATACTATCGAAGCCCTTTGTAATTTTGCGGAGGGCATCCCTTTTAACTGGTTTATGAGAATATTCGAAGGCCTATTCTATTACAGAATTCAGACGTCTCTGAACCGTATCAATTTGGCCGTAGCCTTTAGTTTGGGATTTGCCCCTTGGGCTTGTTTTCCCGTTG